TGCTTAATAAATATTTATGAAATGAATGAATGATCCACAGCTTTTATTTTAGCGAACAGCTTCAACTTCCTCCTTTCCCTACCTCTCCCACATTTTCGACTAAAATAGCCGCAATTAATACAACTACCCCATTTGAATTTTTTTCCTCCTCTCTTGCCCAATTATAGATGTAGAGCTAATGAAGAGACAAATTCCGTGAGAGCCACCAAAGAGAATTGAAGAGATGGAATAACTATCATTAACCAGCAGGGTTGATGTTAGAAGTCATTTAGATATAGACATATTCAATGTGACATCAAGGAGTCAGTTACTATTCTGAAAGAATGGCACTCTTAACATTTACTGTTTTCTTCTGATCTGTTCATGGTTATATCATTTGGTTCATTTCAGAGCTCAAGCCATTTAAAGATTTTCTGGGACAGTTTTTCCAAAGAGAATCTCAAGATTTCAATAGAAAAATTTTAGCCTCTTGATTATGAGCTCAGCATTTAGATTTGTTCATGCAAATCAAGTGATTGTGTACTTCCTAGAGTTATAAACATAATAATGACTCTCTTTGCCTCTAGAGTTCAGGTTTTGCATTTGTGTTTTTCATCTGCTTCAAAGGGACTTTTTCCCAAATGTTTTGTTGAGTCTGGAAAATCCTTCCACCAGTATGGTTAGTTCAATGGTGACACCTTCCACTGGACTCCTTCAGTATCTGTACATGTGAGATTATTGACAGAATGAGATATTATTTTACAGTAGAGTTACAGCTGTCCAAGTTCTAAATAACAGCTATGACTAACCCCATGGGGAAGATTCTTAATAATTTTCCAAGTTTTCTGTGTTAGTGACAGGTTTCATGCATACACTTAGCTATTAAAGCATTAGAGTTCCTTTGATTTCTTAATCATTAACAACTTCAGCTTTGATTGCCCATGGAGTTGCAAGCTGTTAAAATTATCATTTGCCTCCTACTAATTTTAAAACCAAGAGCTGTTTCTTCATTTGATATAGTACAGGTCTTTCTCAGAGCACATACAACTCAGAAGCACTAAGAATCTACTATAAGAAAATAATCTAAAAATAATGAATTTATAAAATAAATGGAGTTAAAGGGAGACAATACTCTTAAATACTAAAGAGTTCAGTTTTTTAAGGATTCAACATAGAATTTTTTTTTCAGTAGAAAGCCTCTCTTTCAGTAGAAAGTTTTTACAAATTATTATTTAAGTGGTGATTATTTTGTGAAGAAGGTAGACAGGCAGGAAATCTGAAAGCTATGTTTCAATGCTAAAAGGTCAGTTGAAATTCAACCAGAGTTAAGATAATGTTGAATTATCATGTAAGTCAGTAGAATATAAAAATCGCCCTGGAAAAATTCTCTTTAGACACAGCCTTTTCAAAACCGTGAACTTACAGTGCTTTACTTATAGTAAATGCTCAATTGGTACTTGCTAAATTGATTTGATATACATTGAGATCAATTGATTGTATGATAAAATGAAATATGTTACCTTGAACATTCATTCACTTATTCATCTATCATCCAGAGATAATTTATTTACATTCCAAATGTCATTTATTGGAAAACAAATTGAAAATTGATGATTTATTTTATAAAGAATGATTTGTCTCTGTTATGGATGTACTTCTACAACGATGGGCTGAAGGAATTTATATCAAATCAAAAGGCTCCTGCAGACTAGTTCTGTGCAGGCTACTTAAGAAACATTTGAGAAGCTAGTTAAAATAATTAATTCCTAAGCCCCCTTCTCAAAGATTTTGTTGGGTAGCTCTAGGGTGAGCCTAGCATTTGAATTTTTTGAAAAGCTACCCCAGATACTGATATACAATTAGGTTTCAAACCCTAATATAAGAGAATACCATCTTTCTTCCAAGAAGAAACAGTTTCCACAGATGCTTGTTTAGCTTGTTTTTAATGTGGCTATTCTTGACTTCCTGTTAAACTCCCTCCTTCTCTGGGAAGACCCAGCCCTTTCAGGTGATGGACAGAGATAGCATGTTTTCCTTAGAGCATCAGGAAAATGAACGTCTAACTTTCCTCAGTTCAACATTTCTGATTTCTGGGGATTCCTTCTAAGTACCAATCCAATGCCAGGTAACGCACGGTGGATATGCCACTACATGATTTATTACTTAAAACAAAACAGGAAAAGCAAAAGTCAGCACTACGTGGAAGCTTCTCATACTTACAGGCTCCCATTAATACTACTTTTGTACATGAGCCATATTCCTGCCCTTTCTGACATCATTCTTTATAACACAAACCCCTCTCAAACTTGTCCCCACAACCACACATACAACATAAGGTTCTGGTTTACCGAGGTGCTATTGACAGTACAACCAAGAATGGATCCACATAGTGCGTCTCTGCCCGATCAGTTCAATCTACTGTTCTCCTTGTTACTCTTATGGTTAGAATAAAACCACCCATTTCCTAATTCTGACTATATTTTCCTCTTTTTTTCTTCTCCTCTCCTATATAAGATTTATTCTTAAATACTGACCTGTACAATTTCTCCAGAATTTACCAACTTTTTTCCTTTTTACAAACTAATCTCAATGTATTTTCCATCCCCTATATAATACAATGTACCTCTAACCCGTGCTTCCCACTCAATATCATTATTATTAAGCATAGTCATACATTAATTATAATGTATTGTGATTTTGAGTGCTATTAAAAATATAATATCTCTTTCCTCTAGGAACTTCCACTGTCTACATCTTTCTAAGGAAGCAGATAATTTTACTTGAAGCCTGCAGGCTTGCTAAGCACTGTATGACAGTAGACTGTGACATAGCATCTGTCCTCTGAAAACTTAACAGTCCTAGAGGAATATGTGTCATTTCCTTTTATGGTTAAATTCCACTTGTCCTATTAAACATCTGTAGTATACTAGATGCTGTCTTGGACAAAGAAAACTTTATAAAGCATAGCTGGGCAAAGTCTGGTAATTACTCTCTAATCCTGTGTTAAAATTGAATATAATCAAAGTCTATAGAAAATATTTCCATTTTCTTTTCTCCAGGGTAAATAGGTCAAATCCCTTTAACCACTTTTGTTTATTAACCTCATGAATCCCAAATCCGTTAACTTAAATGAAGAAACATGATTAAATAATTTTAGCCTATTTTATTAGTGATAAGAAATTTCATAGCTGGAAAAGGGAGGCTAAAGTCAAATGAAACCTGGAATGGATCGATAAGGACAAGAAACTTCCATAAATATACTCCCAAAGAATAAAATCATTCAAGTCTTCTAGAACAGAATGGTTAGCAACTGCTCCCCCACACAAGGACTCAAAGTACTTGCCTCACAAAGTTTTTTTTTTTGCCTCTCTAAGATGATTCTTTAAGGGGGGAAAAAAATCAGAAAAACATTCAATTTTTCATAAATGGTACTTCTAGCACGCCACAACACTAACCCTTATGTCATCTCTTGATATAGCCCCTGTTGAAAAGTACCCTCAGGTGGTTTTTTCCATTGATTAAAAAATAGGGTTGAGTTCTTTATATCATTAGAAAGCAGTAACCAACATTTGGTGGTACGGGGTCATCACTAGAACGGTAACAAGAATGAAGTATTTTGTGCCCTTCTTTCACCCTGTTCATCTTCTGACTTTATTTTTGCTTTTCATAGTTCTTTCTGATATATTGTCATGTAAGAAATAAATGTAAATGTCATTATGAGTGACTTTACAATTTTTCTTGGAAGTTTCGTTTATCTAAGTTATAATTAATAACATTCGAGATTGAATCATTTGCTGAGGCAACCTGAGCATTAGTTTGTATGTTTCACCAAGTCAGTTCATTTCATATCTGTCGTCAGAGTGCAGGCGTCTTGCGTATATCCTGTTTCATGTATCAGGGAAATTGTTATTCACAATAACTTCATATTCATGATGCAGTTGACTTATGATATTAACATAAGAGTCAAGTGTCTGGATCCTGAGACTATTAGGTGGTTTTGTTTATAAATACAATTAGAAATGGGGAAAAATGAAAGGAAAAAATATTATAAAGTGAATGGTGATATCTCTAGGTAATAAGCCTATTGTAGATTTTAATGTTTTCTTGCATTTATCTGTTTTTCCAAATTTCTAAAATGAAAAATAAATGAAATATTAGCAAAAGAAGAAATTGTAGTTGCTGCTTATTTCTTACTTTGTATTTGCTTATCCCTGGAGACCTACCCAGCTCTTTTTTTTATGTGTTATTTCTCTCCCAAGCAGTCTTTCCTTCTTGCCCATGCTGCTGCTGCGTACTTTCTCTGTCTTAGCAGTGTGGAAAGTTCATGAGTTTGTATGAGGAGGACCTAAAGATAAATACATAACTATAGTTGTCTTTGATTCTTTTTTTTTAGCTTGGTAAACTAGGTTTGTAGATGGATTCTTGCCTTTATTTTGCTGCAATCTGATGCTTATGGTCTTTGTATTTGCAGATATGGATAGGAGTCAAGGGAGATGAATGTGTTGAGATGGATGGGAGGTTTTAGGAGATATGAAAAATAGTATGATAAAGTTTGTAGTCTGAATCATATTTTGGAGATATTAATCAATTGAAGGCCATTCATTAACATTTCTCAGGCCCTAGCTCCTAGATCCTAGTTCATATTAAAATCCCATTGTATTTAAAATGTTTCTGCCTTGATCCATTGGCCATTACAAGTTATGTTCAAACCATGTATTAAAACTATAATCATGGACATCTTTCCCACTGCTGTCCAAAGAAATACCTCAGAACTCTTTCATTCTTAAGTAAATTACTGAATTTTCAAAAATGGGTCCCCTTCCTACATCCCACCCTCTTTTTTTCTTTTCACAACTGAAAAAATTTCTTCATCCTAACTTTATGAGACTGTCAAGGGAAAAAAATCCTACAACTATCATGAGACATTAAAGATAGAATAAAATTGGATGCCTTGGGAGTTTTGTGTAGTGTAAAAAAGCAAGGAATAATTTGGTTTGTTTTTTCCCATCTAATATTTTTAGGTACAAGCCTATGCAGAAAGTGGATGGGGTTGCAGATGGTTTCACAGGAAGTGGTCAACAGACAGGCACATCTGTTGAGCAAACTGTAATTGCCCAAAGTCAACATCATCAACAGTTTTTAGGTATGTTAAGGTGTAATGCATATTAGTTGCTATTAGGATTTTGAAAACAAGAGAACAATAGTAGTATTTTCTCTAAATGTGATGTCTCTTACAGATGTTAATTACATAGAAGACTTTCTTTGTGCTGAAACTGTGCACATCATGTGGTAGTTCCAGTTCATTTCTACTTTCTCATGTTCACTAGAGATTATTTTTAAAAATCTCAACTATGTAGGACTTTTAAATGTATGTAAATTAAAGGCTCATTGCTGTGAAATTGTTCTCCAGAATTTGTATTAATTAGGTTTTTGTGATCAAAATTGTGTTGTGTTTACTTTCAGTAGTAACTTCAAGTGCCAAAAAGAATTCTCATTTCCTGTGTATAAAGTTGCATATGCATAGTCTCAAATTAGAAAAAAATTGTAAATGTTTAAACAGTAATTTATACTTTTAAGTCGATCACAGCACTTTCTATTTTTGTAATTTTGTAGATGATATACATGTTTCTTTTTATTTAAAGAGTTAGGAAGTGGAACTTGAACATTTTGCATATTCCTGTCATAGCCAAAGGTGCAAAAATGGCACTTTGATAACTCTTCTAGAGATGAACATGCATAGTTTTCGTACAACAGGTCAAGATAAGTAGAAGTTATCAGAGAGTGCATGTGTGTATGTGTCTGTGTGTGTGTATATGTGTCTATGTGCACTTTTTGACAAAGACAACTAAAATGGACTTTCAGGTCAGAACAGCTACTGAAGTTGAAAATACTATAGCAGCGTTTCCCAAACTAAAGTCCTCAGGTGTATTCTTGTGGACATGTGAGCTCTCGACAGGAATTTTTATTTTTTTATTTTGTGTTTTTATTTCAGTTATAATTTAAAAAAAATAAAAGCATATTCTCGATTACCTAGAAAACTAGAATGAATATTGTTCTGCAATTTTAGTTTCCACATTTGTATTTGCATTTATGATAAAGCAGGCATCAAAATCTATTTCATTAATTGTCCAGAGCTAACGAGAAAAGAACAGAGAGAGACTTACTATGTAAATTACGCCTTCATCCCAAGGGAAGGCTAAATGATGTCCCAGTGCTCTGTGTGGAGGAAGGTTTCACAGCTCATTTGAATATAGAAGAGTAATGGGAGAACCAGCCACCATGAAGTGCCTGTTGGTATAGGCCTGTCGAACTCAAAAGATCCTGTGCCACAGCAGTCAATACCGTATTCATGTTGCGAGAGGTAATTTAGTTAGAGGACTACAGCATCATCCATCACATCAAATTAATGTTAAGTTTAATGTTATTTTTGTAGTTTTCTTTGTATTTATTTTGTAGCTCTTTTGGTTTATGATTATATAAGAGGTGCGAGTGTAATGAGTTTAAAGCTAGATTTATTTTTTATATACTTAAGTAACATAATAAAATAACTAAAATTGATACTGGCCAGCTTGAGATTATTTTTCTTTTAATAGGGGCCATATATTGAGAGACACTGTGATGTCTTTATATTTCCAGTATAATTGTAATGAAAATTTAGTTTCTCCAACATGTTTAAGAGTATTCCCTTTATTCTTTTGTGCTGACGATGTTGCTCAGTTTTGTTTGCAAAGTACTAATCTGAAAAGTCCTTGCTCTTTGGACCTCGGACCTTTAAAATATTTTCTTTTTTAGTCTTCTTAAATTTTCCCTCATTAATCTGTAATTGGCACCATCCACAATAGCTTTTTTCTGTTGTGTTGTCATGGTAACAGATGCATCTCGAGCACTTCCAGAGTTTGGAGAAGTTGAAATCTCTTCTCTGCCAGATGGTACTACCTTCGAGGATATCAAGTCACTGCAGAGTCTTTATCGAGAGCACTGTGAGGTAAGTCTTTTTAAACATACTACGAATACTTGCTAAGTTTTGCCAGACAACTTGCTAAAACAAAATAATCAAACTTACTCCTAGAGGCAGATGACGTTAGTTCATATTTCTTTGAGCACAAATAAGTTAATTTTTCTTCTTGTCTCAGACTGGAGAAGTGAAGACTGCAGGAAAGAGAGAATAAATTTTACTCTCTGTCTTCTTAGCATATCCTAATATGAATCCTTTGGTGTAGTAATTCTACTTCTAGGTGTTTATCCTAGAAAAATGCTTACCTAGGGGTGAAGAGATAAGTGTACAAGGGAACTTGCATTATTGTTTTTAATGTGAAAGATTAGTTATAACTTTAATATGTAATAGGGAACTGAATAAATAAAATATGGTACAATCTATAGAGTGGAACACTATGTAGCCATTAAAAAGAACAGGCAACTCTAAATGTACCAATATCACAAGCTCCAGGATTTATTTTTAAGAGAAAAAGCAAGATGCAAAACAGTGTATATGGCATATTATCATTTGAATGAAAAAGAACATGTATATGTATCTTTCCAGAAGAAAAAACAAAATGTTAATGGTGGTCGTCTTTGTGAAGGAAACTGGGTGACTGGGAGTCAGGGAAAGGGACTCAATTTTTCAACATACTTTTTGTACCTTTTGAATTTTACACCATAAGTGTGTATTTCTATCAAAAATATTTTCTGGAAATGTTTAATAAAGTACTTTAGGTGTTCCTTCCAGGGATCAGTAAGGCTCTAGTTTTGTTTGTTTTGTTGTTAATTAAGGTTTCTCTTGGTATTTTCCATCTCTGCTCCTACTCCCTCTCGGAATATCCCACATCAGAATTAGCTACGTTGTCTCCGGGAGGTGAACTCTCTCCAAGCCAGCGTGTTCATGTACCTGTAGCTCACCTGGTAGAAAGGGGATAACGGATTGCAGTAAGAGTTTTCTTAAGTACCTCTCCTTTTGAGAGAAGAGTCTGTTTAGAATTTAAGTAGCTTTATTCCAGGGCTATTTGTGATCTACTTAGGAGTAAAAGATAATCCTCTGGATTTCATGGGCAGTCTTCCTGACTGCTGACAATGCAGTATGCAATGAGAAGTCTCAGCTCATAGCATTCACCGATTTTTTTTCCCACTCCAGAAATAACAACTGCTTGAGTGAATCCGAGTGCTTGTCAAGAGTGCTAGATTATTAACAACCAAGAGCAAGTTCTCTCTTTATTAACAAACCGTGTGCCAGAAGTGTTTTTCAGTGTGTTCTGCCAGTTCCCAACATTTCTTGGAATGATGAAAGATAATAATTTCTCTTTGACTACTATGCTTTTCCCAATGTTAGAGATTTTCTGGATGATCCTTACATATCTAGAAAAATTCTTTCTTTCTACATGAATATGATATATATTTAATAAAGATATATATAAAGATTCTCTAAGCAATTTCTCATTTCTCTGTGTTTAGGTGAACCTGCTTTAAGCAAACTAGCCTATAGAGATATAATGGGGATTTTTTTTGTTTCTCATATTTATTCAAAATATAAGTTGGAGCATGATTATTCACATTACTCAAGAATGTATAATAAGCTTATTTTAATTGAAAAACTCCCCCAGTAAAATGAGAATATTCTTTGGATTACAAAATTTTCATTAACATACCACTTTTGGGGAATACTCTATATGAAGAGTCATGAACATGTACAGTAATTAATCTGTGTGGGAAATAGCGGTGCATACAATGATCCCCATTTATTTCAGAGTTACCAGCATTCATGCCGTCTCTCATGGGGCATAGTGGCATACATGAAAATGAAGAATTCTGATTATTTTTTCCTGTCAAACTTCCAAACTTTTGAAACATAGGTGCCTGAGTCTCATATCCAGTCCTGTAAATAGTCATTTGTCCTAAGCCATTAGAATATGGATTATTTTAAAATATATTGCCTATATATTTTATCTGAACATATTTGAAAGTAGGTGGACAAATGATAAAATATTTTACTCATTTGTAAAACTGCCTCAAATGAGCCTGATGTGAATGTCCTTTTCGAAAGAATTATTTGAAATTATTTAATTTGAAGAGCTACTGAATTTAACATGCGCTGAATTCTTTACTTGCCTTATTTTATATTTCCTACAGTTTATTTTTTTTAAAGATTGGCTCTGAGCTAACATCTATTTTTTTTCTTCTCCCCAAGCCCCCCAGTACCTAGTTATATATTCTAGTTGTAGGTCCTTTTTTTAGTTCTGCTATGTGGGACGCCACCTCAGCATGGCTCGATGAGCGGTGCCGTGTCTACGCCTAGAATCTGAACTGGCGAAACCCTGGTCCACCAAAGCAGAGCGTGCGAACCCAACCACCCAGCCACGGGGCCGGCCCCCAGTTTACGTTTTTAAGAAAGATTAATAATATACCTGTTTTGTCTGTTATTTGGAATTCTCACAATTTATCGAAGATATTTTGTATCTTTTTAATATTTCTATATCAACAGTTTTGTTATGTAAGGAACAAGTATAATTTTCTACACAAGTTGCTCCAAGAGTAATTTTTTTTCTTTTAACATATGCATAGTGTTCTTACAGCAATTTCATAGTTAGAGATATGTAAGGTATTATATAAGATATTAATAGTTCCTTCATTAATAGATGTCTCTTGGAATGTGCCTAAGCCACAGTTGAGAAAGCAGCTATAATAATTTCCCTCTTAAGAAGATTTTGGGTTTGGCCTGGGAGGAGGGACATCCTTATGCCCTGTACTTTCCGGGCTTTCGTTTGCATTTTTATTGCTGCTGATATTAAAGGGTGAGGAGTGTGCTAATTTGTTTGTCCCCTTCCCTCCATTTTCATTATCTAACTACTTGCCACATTTCTTGCTAGTTCCCGGAACGTGCCTCCAAACAGATTTGCTTAATATTTGAATTGGTCTCAAAGTATTTTTGTATAGAACATCAATTATTCTTTGTATGTGTCATACATAGGGCCAGAGCTACACAGGTAGCACAGACTCTAGAATTATGAAGTTATGGCTTCCTTTTTTTGCCTAAAATACTCAGATTGTCTCTCTCGATTGCCCCATGTTGTCCCTTAGCTTCTGTGAATTGCATAGGTCTCAATGGGGCTGTTTTACCTGTCGTCGTTCCCGATGCTGACAACATCAAACACATTATACTGATGTCTTCCGTCTTTGATGCTCAAAATAATCACTGAATCATGTGTTCTTTGCACAAACAAGTTATTTGTTGGTTTTATGACTGCTTTTATCTGAAGGCAAATTCACAAACTAATTGCCATGGCAGGGTGAAATTAAATATGATCATCAAAAGTTAGTAAAAGTGCAAAATTTTAGCATCGAAAAAAATGTGCTTGATGCAGCTTGAGAATGGTTGTATGAGATAAAATTAAGGAGGAGGTGAGGCCCTCACCCCCAAGATTAGAAAAGGGATAGTCTTAAAGCTGCTCTCTAAAGGAAGTGTGCAGAGATAGGACTGAATGGAAGGCATTGCGTGACCAAAGAGATATGCTCGCTGTGCTCTTTTTCTGCCTAGACAGTTGCTGTCCTCTGAAGGCCAGCCTGACTCTGTAGTTTCTGCCCCAGCCTCTGCTTGGCTCGGAACACTCTGGAACCCCTGGTCAGCAGCCTTAGACAGAACTAATTTAGTCCTAAGTCCATCTGCCACACACAAGCACCTCCACACCCTTCACTTCTGCCCTCTTTGATGGCCAGTGGACACACTGAGCCCCTGAGGATTGATGTGAATTGAGTCTGTTCTATGCCCTTCTGGGTCTGAGAATAGGAAGAGAGGAAGGCAGAAGGAAGCAGTGGGTAAAGGAATGGAAGACAAGTAAGAGAAGAAAATGGAGAGGAAGGGAAGCAATGAAAATGGAGGAAAAAGAGAGGTAAAAGTGAGGGTGGGGTATGAGGCCATTACAGGAGGAACACAAGTTCTCCTGCTCAATCTTTCAAGAGTTTTTTTCCCTTTTTTTTTCCCTAGCCCATCTCTTTTGTTTCCCTCCTTCTGTTGGCAAAATTTAGTCCAGTTTCACCAGGTTAACTTATGAGCCCAAAGGTGTCTTTACTATTTAAGTCCCATTACATTATGCACTCCTCACACAGCCCAATAAGAAATATTGTGAGGTAATTACTGATAACCATTTTGTTTTTTAGGCAATATTGGACGTTGTTGTGAATCTTCAGTTTAGCCTGATAGAAAAATTGTGGCAAACATTCTGGCGCTATTCTCCCTCTACTCCAACTGATGGCACTACCATTACTGAATCAAGGTCAGAATCAATATGCTTTTCCAATTCATTTTAGTGGCTGAGTAGATGTCACAGCTAATGAATTAGAGATATGTATACCAGTTGTGAACCTTACCTGATAACATTAAATGAATAGATTAAAATAAACCACAAACTGCTCTCTTGAGGTTTCAGCGTGTGTTGTAGCTCCCCTTTTTATTGATTTGGGGGACTGCGGTAGAGCTAATTCATCCTCATGGAATTAGTATCATATCTGCCTTTCATACCGTCAGAAAGTATTAACGTGCACAGGCAGCTCTGGGGGAGTGTTATATATATCCAGCTGTATGGCACCAGTGCAATGGTGATATAGTTCTAACCTCAGTGATATTTGATAAACTAAAACTATTTTTAAAGTCCATTTTCTTTTTTATCCTCATTTGCCATCTATTCATTTGCTACATTTATTCACACCAGCAATCTGAGTGAAATAGAAAGTCGACTTCCGAAAGCAAAGCTGATAACTCTGTGCAAACATGAGTCTATCCTGAAATGGATGTGTAACTGTGACCATGGGATGTACCAGGCTTTGGTGGAGATTCTCATCCCCGACGTCCTTAGACCTATTCCTAGTAAGTTAAATGCAGACAAGTACGGATGCTTTTGTTCTCATACGTTCCACCCAGGAAGTTTTGGGAAGTGACATTGCAATCTAGAGTGATTCTCATCTCATTTAGATTTGCCAAGTAGAAAACATGCAACACAGACTATTGCATGAAAGCAGCCTAGAGCAAAACTGTAGTAAAAGGGGAAAAATTAGCTGTTTTCCAATCTTTTGTTTTCTTTTTGATAGAAAAGACAACCTATAGATGTGACAGCCCCAATGACTAATTGCAAGAACACTCCCAGGCCAGTCAACCATGTAAAAATTATTCTACCCAAGGATACAGTTTCCTTCGTAAAGCCAAAACTTTTTGAAATCTATAATTTCTAGGCCACCCTCTTTCTTGGTTGCTTTTGATTTGAAATGAATTTATCTTGGTTTCCACTGAAGTTGAATTCGTTTATAAAAGCTTTTACTTTGTCACCTCCATCATGGTAAGAACTACAAATGCAGTTTCCATTAACAGTAATGGTTAACTGGCATTTTGAGAGAAAAATCTATGTAACTACGCAAGCGTTGTATTCCCGCCATGCAGCAAATAGGAATTACGTAGATAAGTTAGATTACTTTTTTAAGCCATGGTGCTTTTTAAACTACCTTGTAGCAAACAAAGCTATTTTCTGCTTCTGTCAATATAAATGCTACTAAGGAGGGTTGTGTTAGTCAGTTGAAACGATTTTATGCCTACATCTTTATGAGCACATACTAGTGACCTTAACTTTTAAAGAAATGGGACAGAATTTCCACTCTACAGTAACATTAATAGGTAAAAGCAGTCTTTTAGCTTGTGAAATTGGCAACTGTGTACTTCAAGTACACTCTTGACAGTGAATTTGTGTTAAATTATTCCAGAAAATATTTAAACAGGAATTTAGTAGAAGAAAAGATGAAGATATTAACATTTGTCTGTTTATACTTTCTTTTTCTAAATATGATAGACCACAGTGGAAGATATGAGTACTTTTCTATGTTCCCCACCACCTAAAATAGATGCTTAGACACTTATTTACATATAACATCAGTGAACACATAACATAAATTTGTATAGAAATAAGTAAAAACAAAAAAAAATCCAGCTGTCATTATCTCACAATTTTATAAATTGCTAATGTTTTCCACTTTATCTGCACCAAGTTTCCTGACTAAAGTGATTAAAAGTGATATTGTCATGGAAAATTTCAATGTGTAAATTCTCTACTGATTTATGTTCCAGAGTCCAATTTTCCTTGTTTTGTCTTGCTCCCTGTGCTCTGAGTGATACTCTCTAGAGATGTTTAAGAGAAGTTGCATAGGGTGGCTCATTAGCCTATGACATCTTGCTGCCAACGTACAATTTCTCATAAGATAGAACAAGAAACGTCAGGGAGCACTTTCTTTTTTGAGGCAAATCAACAACATCAGTATTCATCAAACAATTCTAAAACCTTTTGCTTCTATGTTGGCATCACAAGACTTGTGAACTCAACAGTTCTCTAACTTAAATCACATATGGATTTTAGTTGACTTTAAGCTCCATAATTCTAAGTATGCAATACACTTGACCTTTGTTTTTGCAAATTTTGATTTGAAAAACCAATTCTGTCAAGTAGTTTGTCTCTACATTCAAACTGATAATTCAACTTCAGGAATTTTCAGACAAGTATAGTTTTATAGTTTCTCTGAAATTACAGGATACATTAATGTGCTCCCTTACAAAGTACATTGGGAAATTTAATTCCAATTCTATAACCAGACTTACCAAAATAAAGCTTAAAATATAGTTTAGGTAGCTATCTTCTGATTGTATGCATTTTATTATTAATCAGGAGCAGGTTGAGACAAGTTAGCTTTGGAATACGTTTAAATTTCAAGCCATCCATTCATAAGAAAAAGTTGCCAGAGTCAATCTGCACAGTTTGATCTGACATGAATCCTTATAGAGAGAGCAAACTTAATTTTATTTTTAAAAATTGTATTTTCCTGGCTACTAGTACTTCACTCTACCATTTACTGTCCAGATGGGATTCCTTTTTTTAGCCAAAAAAAAGTCTGCATATCACACTAATTTAAAGTCAGCTTGAAGCTACTATATTCTAAAATACATTTATCTGAAAATGAAAAAAAGTTAAGTATAAAGAATTGTATAAGAACTCAACTGGTAACACTAAAATGTGCAATTATGAGTGTACTTAAATGTGGCCCAAAATGTCATTTTGTACACAAAAGCAAAAATTTAAATCACTTGATGTATAAAATATATCTTTTTATTTTATAATCTTGCTAACATCAAATTTGTCTAGATAAAACAAGACCCATGTGAAATATTTTTTAAAAGTAACTTTTCCTACTTCTTGGTTTTTCTTTTTCAGATTAAATAATTATTGTATATTAATTGTAGAAAAAAATGCAATATACAGATTTCCAAATTGAATCTTGAACAAAATTTTACCGAGGTGGTTAGTTTTTTTTTCACTCTTTTTCATTTTCATTCATGCCTGCCCTCCATGGTTCTAGTACATAATACAGCAGAAAAATATTTTTCTTTCTTTTTTCTTTTTTGGCTAAAGTGGGAAGCTTTGGAAATTTCAAAAGATCAGTTCTCAAGAAATTTCCAACTCAATGTTTCCAATAGAAGATTCTCATGATTAAGAGTCTGCACTTCTTGAGTGTTTTTCCTAATCAAAATTTAGCCATTTCAGTCTGTCTTCTGTTATTTGACCAATTAAATAAATCATTAAAAAATTAGTTGTGTTTATTATTGGGTTAGTAAAATTTATATCTTTTGCAGGTAACTTTGAGTAAACTAAATTATTTCTAACCCTACTTTAACAAAAGTAATAAAGAAGCATGTCAGACTCATTTGAGCACAGAAGGAAAAACTGAGGAATTTAGTCCCATCATTAACATTAATATCCTTGGGAGCCTTGAACAAAAATGTAACTTCTCTGTTTCTTTTAGTGGACTACAAATTGTAATACCTACCCACATTAGAGGAGACCTGTGGAGATTAATTTTATGTGTGGGTGCTTCAAACATTTATTAAATGTCTTGTCTAAAACTGCTCCCTTCAGTGTGGGACCTTGGGCACAGCTGAAGTAAAATGCTATTGACTGAATTATTTGTTGAACAAGAGAAGAATTTGGTCTTCCATTATACAGGAATCTCAGTAAGCAGATTCCTTCTTGTAAGATGGCCATAGTCGTCCCTGCTGATGAGGCTTCTAACCATTTTATGATGAGCATAAAAGCTGCTCTCCTGGGACCTATCCCCATTTCAGGTTTTGTCAGATATGTGAAGAATATGGAATGGACAATTTTACTAATATCTTAAGAATATTGGTCTCTGTGGCAGCACTTTTATCACACTAATCTTTTATCTCTACCTGCCGAGTGAAATGGAGAACAGTCATCCAAAATTTTCAAATCAGGCAATTTTAATTTTCACCTTACTTTTCAACAAGAGTGAGAGACAACTCCTGTAACTGGTGTTCTAGTGTAAACAGATTCGTAGAGAAAGAGAGACAGCTTTGCATTATTTTCTTTTTAACTAAGAAAAGAAAATAGATTAAGAGCTTGAAAACTCAAACGAAAAATTTATAAAGAAAATACATAGCCATTGAGCACAAAACTGTTCATGCAAAGAGTGTTTTGTTAAGATAGAAAATTCATAAGTATATTCACAACTGGTATATGTTGCTATAAGCAAAAACGTTAGCGTATTTTCATTTCCCAATGAAGTGTCATAAGTATCTGGGAACAAAATAGCTTTAAAAGAAAAAAGAAAGCCCAAAATATAACTCTTGGATGCTTTCAAAGTTAGGAATAATGTTAAAGTCTCGTAATGAGGACAATATAAGTTGTGTGCTGTTTCAGATGTCATGTATGCTGTTTTCCCTTATTCTGGCATGAAGATTAATGTTCTTTGGTATCTTTTTCGTTCTGCTTTTATTCCTTAACATTTAGGTGCCTTGACCCAAGCCATTCGAAATTTTGCAAAAAGCCTTGAAGGTTGGCTTTCCAATGCCATGAACAATATTCCACAGAGAATGATACAAACCAAGGTACACTTTTATGTTTTTACTTTTTCTTTTATGTTTAGGAAATTGTTCTGAACTGTGAATTTTATATCTGTCCTATCAAATTGTTATGTAAAATGTTGATGTTATATAGAACTTTTAAAACTGACTTTAATATTTGTATTTTATAACCACGTAAAAAAGAACTTATGCAAGAGATGTTTGAATGCTCCTTTCAAAGAAACTAGAGAAGCATTGTAAGTGTGGCGTATTTACAAGCCCTTTTCTAAGGCATGTATTTCAGATTACTTAATTTCAAATATTAAAAAAGAATAGCCTAGAATATTTAAATAGTTCTCGTTTGAAGGAGTTTTAGATTTTTTATGTCCCCGACTGTACTCATTATATTGTGAAAAGTTCATGTACATTAATATTCTTTTGCTTTTCATCATGTTTTGTTTTTTTTTTAACACTGGAGGATGCTTTTGTGGATCGAATAATCATTTCTTAAAGTGAACAATTATCTCATAATTGATCTACATATATTAAGAACATGGATTATTTAGCTAGGGATATGAATTCTATTCTCCACTTCGTCCGCTACTAACCATGTTACTTTAGGTTAATCTGAACACACCCCATGGCGAGGTTGGACTGATGCCGTCTAAATTTTGGTACCAAAAATAACAGTTGTGGCTCTTTGTCAAGGACTGTATCCACTATCAGACTCCAACAATATACCTTTTCTTTAATTTGGGGGCATAGTTGACAGATTAAAGCTCTTATAGCTGACAAGTCTCCTGGGGAACACAAGTGGCTCCCAGTTCTTTCTGCTTTGACTTAAGGTTTGCAATAACACTTTCTATTTCAAAAATGCACAGTCAAAGACATTTCATTGATGCGCCACCTTAGATTGTTGCTCTGGAGCTATGCTGTCAATACAGTAGAAGTAGCTGCGTGGCTATTTAAATTTGAATTTTAAATTTAAATTAAAATTCACGTACTTATGCACACTAGCTTCATTTCAATTGCACCATAGGCTCACGTGGCTAGTGGCTACCACATTTAGCAGCACATATGTAGAGCATTTCCATCATTGCAGAAAGTTCTGCGTGGCAGTGCTATTCTAGAGCACCACATTGAGGTGGGCAAAAAAGGAGGTGCTCTTTGATTATGACGGTCATAGCAATGCTTTCCCACTTACAAAATCAGTCCTATTCGTAACAATACTTCAAACAGCTGAAAGCACTGCCCTTCCCAGTGTCATCAAAGTGAATGTAGTAGCAATCCAGCTGCAGTATTGGCCAGCTCCTTGACCTCCAGAGTTGATTTGGATGATTTACTTTGGCGGAGGGTGCCTTCTGCTACTCCTCTCTCACTGGCGTGTAGCCTTTTGTCAGCTGAGCACTCAGTCAAAGAAGACAACCTACCCTGACGAGGGAAACAGCATAATTAGGTTATGATTGGCTCCTGTTATCAAAATGCCTGGGTTCATATCCCACCACTGTAACATAGTTTCTGCATGACCTTGAGCAAGCTACTTAACCTCTTTAAGTCATAATATGTATCTAATAGGATGGTTATGAGACTTGAGCAAGGTAATATATGTGAGATGCTTAACACAGTACCTGGCACATAGTGTATACTTGGTTAATATAAACCACAGCAATGGAAAAAAGAGTAAGACTCTTTTTTGAGGGTACATGAACTTGCCCCAAGTTCCACATAGTCCTAAAACATGTCACTATCAAGATAGAGCATGCTTTGGCCTGTGAACACTCTCTACCACTCAGCCAACTAACTGTTCAATCAGTTGCTTTTCATATACCCATTGTGATGTAATGCCATACATTATGATAAATCTGTTAAAATGCTCATTAGATCTACTGTGAATGTAACACATTTTCATGAGATCATAAAATTCAAATATTTACCTAGACCTTTTTTTTTTCATTATCTTTGATATCTTTCCTTGTAACCTGGTTCATTCAGGGTCTCAGCAGGAAACAAACGATATATCCAAAAGGGGGAATAATTGAAGAGAGTTTAAGAAGGGTCCATTTCCAAAGATGTGAACAGAGCTGAGAAAACCAAGGAGGGATGATAAAGCACCCCAGAACTAGCAATAGTGGGAAGTTGTGACCATCCCTAGCTCTGAAGGAGAAAGAGGTGAAAGCTACGGCACTAGGAGATCCTCTCCTTCCCCCAGGACTGTGGCGTTAGATGAGGAAAGCAGGCTCTGCCAAAACAGGAGGGAGCAGACGTTGTCGGGGAATGAATACTTTGACCACTCTTCTCCCATCCTTCAGTCTCCTACTAGCGCCTGTCACTGGCCAGACCCAGCTGAAAGCCAGAGTGTAATGGAGGCAGTTAACGTAGTTCATTCAGACCAGTCTTCTTGGGCACAGAGCACAATGGAGAAGGATGGAAAGTAGATTTTGCAGGGCAAATGGAGATTTCTTGAATAGCCCTGTTGCAGAAATTCAAATTCTGAAAAAGAGTTTTTCTTGTTACTTGTGTCTGATAAGTTTGTTAACAATATATTTGCTATATAAAGGCTATAAATAAACACTCTTCTTTCACCTCAGAATTACCCAGGTTTCTATAAAATAAAAGTAATAAGAGTGAATGTGAATTCTAGTGGTCTGAAAAGTATATTTTTTCATCCACTTAAAAAAGTGGGACTGTATAGTTTGGTTTTCCAAGTAAAAAGAAAAAAATTTTATTTGCCTAGTTGTAGTTACTTGTCCTACAGAGAATAAAAAAGAAATGAAAATCAACATTTTTCCTACTTCCCTAGACAAAGTCATTTCTTGCTGTGGATGAGTAGTTACTTGCAAAACTAGTTTAATTAATGCCACACTCAGATGTCGAAGAATGTGGGAGTTTGTTTTAGTCTTGACCTCAACCTACTCAAAAGAAAAATAATACTTGGTTTAGAGATTTAAATGCTATAATTTACAAGTAAGCTCTCTCACTAAATGAATTTGAAATAAGTATCAGAGGGAAGCATTTAAATTTGGCAAGGGAATAAAGATTTGAAGATTGCAGTGGTTTCTTTTACTGGAGGGGAAAAAAAAAATCTCAGTTTAATTGGATTTCTTTCCAGGTTGCCGCTGTAAGTGCCTTTGCCCAGACTCTGCGAAGATACACGTCGCTCAATCACCTGGCCCAGGCGGCTCGTGCAGTGCTTCAGAACACCTCTCAGATCAACCAGATGCTCAACGACCTCAACCGTGTTGACTTTGCCAATGTCCAGGTAGGCAAGAGATTAAACTTTTCCATTTACTAGCTGTGGGGTCTTGGGCAAGTTGCTTAACTTCTCTGGGCTTTACTTTCCCCACTTTGTAACACCTATTAGATTATTGTTTACATATTTAGTAATACATAAAGCCCTTTGCACCATTAACACACAAGAGATATTTGTTTTTAATAGTGCTCCATCTTGAAGGAGCTAAGAACAATTCTGATTCAGAGTTTATTGTAGGTACCTGGTAAATATTTGTTCATTTGAAAAGAATTAGATGCAATGTGTTTGGCTGTTTTGATCATCCGAAAAAAAAGTTTAGCCTTGTGATCAAACTGCTCACTTGTACTATAAAGTATGCTTAAAAAATAGTTAATTTAGGAATATTATTATGGAAGGCCCAACAAATATTTTATTTCAGGTACTCAAGTAATGAAGCTAATTATTAGCATATGAAAACAGTACCATTGCTCACTCAAAGTGTAAGCAACAAAAGAAAAAATACATGAACTGAACATAATCAAAATTAAAAACTTTTGTGCTTCAAAAGAGACCATCAAGAAACTGAAATGGCAACTCACTAGAATTGAGAAACTTTTTGCAAATCATATATCTGATAAAAAATATGTATCTAGAGTATATAAAGAACTATTACAACCCAGTAACAAAAAGACAACCCAGTTAAAAAATGGGCAAAGATCTAAATAGACATTTCTCAAAAGAAGATATGCAAATGGCCAATGAGCACACAAAAATATGTTCAGCACATTAGCCACCAGGGAAATAAAAATCAGAATCACACTGAGATACCACTTCACATGTGCTAAAATGGATATAATCCAAAAAGACAAATAATAACAAGTGTTGGTGAGGATGTGGAGAGATTGGAAGCATTATACACTGGTGATTGGAATGTAAAATGCCGCAGTCACTTTGGAAAACATTCTGGCATTTCCTCACAAAGTTAAACATAGAATTACCCTATGA